TCATTTCTTGCTAATGATCAGCTCATACTTCTTCCCCCCACCTCTCGTTTAATGTTTATGTGGCTTTTTCTGTGCAGTCTTTTCAAAAAATGTTTTCTAAGCATTTGTAGGCAACTTGTTATGCACAATGTACAAAAAGACCCACTTCTCTCCTTGATGATCATCAAACACCCTTTAAGGATGCTTCATTGCCATGCAAGTGGAATCAGCCTCTTTTCACATTATTGTACCATAACTCAAAGATTGAAATAATCTAGGCTTATATTGAAGGTGTAGTTTGGAGGAGGATACTGCTCGACTGCATTAAATTCCTTAACAATATCTCATATTGCTCCCAATCTGTTACTTTGGAATCAGATCAAACAGAGGTGGCCATTATCGTCGCTCCTTTTTGCTGGGTTTGAACATCTTTCATGAATTCTTGCTGCTTGAGTGCTGCCGTTATTATTTTGCTTCCAAGGAAGTACCACTTAAATGTTTGGGGAGTTGGAGACAGAAAGCTAATTTAGAATTATTTAAAAAAAATACTCTTCAGATATTGGTCACATTGTAAACACTTATAAAACATAGCCATTGCATGTGAGGTGAGGTGAGGAGGCTTAAGAGTGGAAGGCTGAAATCTGCTCCTCTACCTTGTAATACCCTTTTCTATTAAGTAGCATTTCTATAATCAAGATGTGTTGGAGAAAGGTGACAAAACGCAATTGTGCTTTTTGATTGTCTTGCTGCAGGGGGAATGATTTATTCTGGGTAAGCAACCAGGATCATGATTTGCAAATGATATGCACATGGAAATTCTGGAAAGGCCTTTTTGTATTTGTATTCTGCCTACGTAATGATGCAGAATGGATCTAAGTATGGCATGTGAATACAACAGGCTTCCAAGGTGGTGGTGGTAGTGCCGGGGAGCTTTAATCCTTTCGCTATTTCCAAATCAAATAATCATAACAGGACACACAAACCATGTTTTCACTATTATTACCAATGTTTGCGACTCAAAGAAAAATGACAATCTCTCTAAAATAAATAGCCTGTCATTTAACATCCTGTTCAAAACAGCTACAGTTGTTTCATCCAAAAGATTTATTAGCCAAAGCTCTCAAAGGGACCCACAATAAATTAAAATGAAACTAAAAAAATATAATAAAATACATGACATACCCACTTGCCTGGGAATAGGCCTCATTGAAGTCAATGGGATTTAGCAGACCTTTATAGGGTTTTTGCTGTAAGACAGTAAACATTAACACAGTAAAATGGTAACATTCTAGCATGGAAATATAAAATGGACTGATCTAAAATGCTGGAACAAATGAGAATATTTTCACCTGGTTCTCAACAGAAAGCAAGGGTGGCACCCGGCCAACCTCCCTAGGAGAGAATTCTGAAGGCAGAGGACCACAGTGAAGAAGGCCCTGTCTTTGGTCACCTCTCACTATATTTTAGAGGGTGGATGGGCTCAGAAAAGGGCATTAATGATTCTCAAGCCAAATTATGCATTGAGAAAATAGTTTGATGTTTGTGCATTCCACACTAAGAGAAGAAGATCAGCTGTCCTATATGGGACATTAACAGCATCCCTTTGCCACAAAGGGCAATTTAAGGAAACAAGCGCAGATCTCCAGGTTGCAACCAAGCAAACTTTACAAGAGGAATGGGTCAGGGACCAGATGTTGGATTCCAATTATTGCTGACCTTTTGGTGTGCTGGGGTGGGGCTGATGGAAGTTGGCATCCAACAATATCTGGACAGCTACAGGTTCCCCCCTCTCCACTTTACAAGTTTGAAACCTGTTTGAATGGATCCAAACTAAATTCTTGGTGAATAAGACCATTAAGTGTTGTTCATACTTGCTATATTTCTTCATTTGTGACACCGTCACTGAGCCTAGATTTGAGAAGTTGCTCCTATGCAGCTCATCTTTGGCTTGGCATTCCTTCATATACAGAGAATAACTTCCAGCCTGAGATTTTTCTTCGAAAGGCAAGTGGTTGCTCTTTAAGAGCAAATCCAGGTCCCACAAGTGGATCCACATAGCAGACAACAACTACACATGGAGTAGCCTGTGATAATCTGACAGCTGATGAGACTGCAACAGAATAAGAAGTGTGTAAGGGACGCAGGTGGTGCTGATCAGAAGGTCAGTGGTTTGAATCCCCACGACAGGGTGAGCTCCTGTTGCTCGGTTCCAGCTCCTGCCAACCTAGCAGTTCAAAAGCACGTCAAAGTGCAAGTAGATAAATAGGTACTGCTCAGGTGGGAAAGTAAATGGCGTTTCCGTGCGCTGCTCTGGTTCTCCAGAAGCAGCTTTGTCATGCTGGCCACATGACAAACACCGGCTCCCTCAGCCAGTAAAGCAAGATGAGCACCACAACCCCGGAGTAGTCCACGACTGGACCTAACAGTCAGGGGTCCCTTTACCTTTTTAAGATATAAAATATGCATGCCAGAAGCACAGGCACAGCTAGGTTTTGCTACTAGTTTTGTGTTTAAGCAACTATATGTACTGAATTTTTCAACACAGACAGACACCATTTTGGTTCTTTAGCAAGGAAAGTTGAGGACGTAGAAATAACAGCTAAGTGCTGGTACATCTGTGCCTCCCCCCCCCCCCAGTGTGGTCCCTGGCTTGAAGTTAAACAGGTCTTGTTACACCATACCAGTGCTGCAGTGATGACTGCATCTCTCTCTCTCTCTCCCTCTCCCCTTCTTTGCCAAACCTTTATTAGGCATTACAAGTATAGGCCATCATGAAACGCCATATAACATCCATATCTAAAATTTTAAAATATATACAAATAAACAGCCATGTAAAATACATAATAACAGGGATTTTCATTGGAGTTTCTTATATATACACAGAGAGAGAGAGAATGCAGAAACAAGGGAGCCTAATGGTTCTTAATGGTGCCTATTGTTTGCCACCTGTGAAAAGACATGGCGATGGAAGATTGTTGCAATGGTCTCTGTAACTTATAACTATGCAGGACCAGGTTATATTTTGAAGCTCGTCCCTGGAACCTCAGCTTAGTGAATAACTCTGCAGGTGCATCGGCTGTGTATGTAGATTGTGTTTGCCATTCAGTAGCTTTTTCTCAGCACAGCATTTTGCTTCCTCAGATAATTTACCCTTTATTTTCTCTATCACCTTAACTTTAAATGGCACCTGAATAAAATTTTACCTGGCAGCTACTCTGGGTCCTTTGGAAGGGAGGATTGAATAACAATGTAATAAATGAAGTGAATTTTTAAAAGTGGGGCATAGCCATCTTATCGGGCAATCCCCATTCTTGACCTTGTTATTTCCAGAGGCTACTGTAAGGGTGTGCCTGTCTCTTTTAATCCATTAAGCTCCAAGACCCAACTTGCTGTCCTGCATGTGTGTGTTACAAGTCACCACCTCCTATCCATTCCCTGTCCTAATACTAATGTATGACATCACCACAGAGTTCTTTGGAGGGGGTGGGGCAGGGAAATTTTCTCTTTGTGCCATTCTGCCTCTAAGCTTCAGAAAAGATTATACTTTTTGCATAATACTTTGCTGACTATAAAGAGCCATGGTCAGGCTGTAAAGAGTTCACCTAATAGAGAACATTAGTGATGGATTAATTTTAATGACAACCACATAAGTGGTGGGGTGGGTAGGTGGAGAGATTCTCAGCATCATAAATGAATTAAGTAAATTTGCACTGGTGACATCTGGAAACATATATTGTAACTATTGGTTCTCTGACCATTTTTAGATCACTAAATCTTCCCTCAAAGCAGCAATCTTAATGGCTTTGATCTTTTAATCATCTCCTATATTTTAGACAATAATGTTTATTGTGCCTCTTGGAACATTCAGGTGCCTTGCATTTTTTTATTTTTTGCTTTGATTTCAGTGAATTTACTAGCCAGGATATTTTGTTTGGGGGGGGGGTGGGCAGGGAGAGGCACTTTGTTTAGAGATCTTACCTGTGTTTATATAAAACATTTTTCACCATATCACATGTGAGAACTTGGGTCCAGGGGAAAAAATGCATATGTCTGGCTAAATGGTTTATTGAGTCCATTTCCTGCCAATCACTGTTTAGCAGTACTTTATAATGGTACGAATTATAGCAATTAACCTAGTATTGTTAAGTTGTCAAAAGGCAGCCTAAGCAGGTAAATATAAATACAGAAAAATAAAGCAGAAGCTGCTAGTGGGCCCCACAGCATCTCTAACAGACAAATGCAATCTGTTTTTCCAGGTTCTAGGGAATAAATCAAATAGATTTGGAGTAATAAAGCAAGCCATGGAAAGGCCTTTAGCTACATGCATAAACTAATAATTGGTACTCTGCTGGTGTTTTGTGTGCTAAACTGCATTGAGAGGACCTTTTAAGCCTCTTAAAAAGGTACATAAATGCTGGCATTAAAAATAAAAATCTGTAAATCCTCATTTCCTGTAATATTTTAACACCTTTTAAGACTCCCCCCCCCAAAAAAAAGCAACAACGAGGAGAATGGTTCAAGGGGCACAAAACTGTTTTCAACACCCACTGCATTTAGCTTAGCACTAGTAACAATTAATGAATCACAACTTGCATGTTTATCCATTCCATATGCCATCCTGGGCTACTTTGGAAGGAAGGGTTGGGGTATAAATTTAATAAATAAATAGACAGGAAACAAGGAACACTCATGCCAGGAAACATTCACACCCATATTACAAAATGTTTATCTTACTTTTGACTGTTCTTTTTTTAAAACAACAACAATACAATGTGAATGGGGTGGGTGGTGGGAGAGAGAGCACATCACACCACAGGAGGTAAAGAGTAATACAAAATTATTCTTAACTGCCCAGTTAAGAGGTGGCAGAATTGCAGATCCCAAAGACAAGGCAAAAGTGTAGTGCAGCTTCCAGAAAGTCTCTTCCAGGACTCTACAAAATCCATTTTTTAGTTTTTTCCTGCCCTCTTGTTCTCTTGGTAATTTAGAGACAGCAGACCCAAGTTAGTGTTTGAAGTTCATTCCTATAGCTACGCTGGTAGAGTATGAGACTCTTAATCTCAAGGTTGTGAGTACAAACCCCACATTGGGTAAAATATTCCTGCATTGCAGAGGGTTGGACTAGATAACGCTCATGGTCCCTTCCGACTCTACAGGTCTATGACTGTATAATCAAGGAAATTATACAATATTACAGTATCTGCTCAGAAGTAAGCTGCACTGACTTCAGTGGGACTTACTGACAGGTAAGTGCCTACAGCAGCAGAGGGAAATTCAAGTTACAAGAAAGGAGATTCCAACTAAGCATCAGGAGGAACGTTTTGACAATAAGAGCTGATCGATAGGGGAACAGACTCCCTTGAAAGGTGGTGGACTATTTCCTAGTTTGGATGGTCATCTGTCATGTATGCTTTAATTGAGATTCCTGCATTGCGGGGTGTTGAATTAATTACTTTCGGGGTCCCTTCCAACTCTACAATTCTATTATTCTGTGTTACACACAGCTGTTCCTAACTTTACCCCCTTTTTTAATTGTTTTTAGTAAAAGCAGCCTTGGGCACTTGGAGCTGTCTGAGGTTCTGAAACTCTAGCAGTCTTGCTGTCACACCATCCAAAGGTTTACAAGGATTAGCTGGTGGAGAAGTAATTTTGTCCCATAGAAAACAAATCAGTAATTTGGGATTTTGATGTAGTGCTGAGTGATACGTAAGCATTTTTTTTAAAAAAATAAATAAATTCTGTAAATGCTAATGAATCTGAAGATAGAGACCAACATTAGTATACTCATTTTGCAGAGAATGGAACCATGACTGAGACAGGATGAATGATGCATTATTTTTTTCTGTATATGGGAGGTCTTATTTATTTACATGCCTTTATATTCTGCCTTTCTTTCATCATGGATCTCAAAGCAGCATGCGTTTCACCTATCCAGGCACTGACCAGACCCAGACCTGCTTAGCTTCAGCAAAGTTGTGACGTTGTGACCATCTTCTGGAACCTGGTAGTGTAGTTAGTATACTGCAACCCTGAAGTGTAGTCCAGTGTTGGTTACTTTGGGTTTTTAAACAGAAATGTGGTGGCGGCTGTGAAGCTGATTGTAGCAGCTGTGCAATTAATTAAGGCTGGAGCGGTTGAAGGGAGCCAGGTAAATAATTGAGGATTAGAGTAGTGAGTGGAAACACATCTGGATTCCAGGTTTACCCTCAGATAAACAGCATATCTGCCTACTTAAAGCACTTAAAACCCCTCCACTTAAACACCAGTCTTCTCATGAGGCAAGCTGGGGAAAAGTTATATGAAACTATGACATTTTGTTTCACACTTAGGTATTTGAGCATCGTTTAGCTGGCAAATGAATTGACTGTGAATCAGAAGGATAGACAGATACATGCACTCTGTATATAAAGCTAAAAGCATCAGTTTGTTAAATATTGACTTGTGAAATGATCCAGCTTCCTCTTGGCCAAATCTGCAAGAATAAATTCTGAAAAGCCTACCGCAGAGTGCGGGGGAGGGGGCAGGGGACAATTTCAAAGCATATCATCTTGCCTCATTTTTGAAGATTTTGAAAGTGCAACTAGTCTGCATGAAAGTCAGTGTCTCCTGCATGCAACTGTGCACTTGATTTGGCTCAGGGGGAAGTCTGAGTGGGCAAGTGACCTTTGCAACAACCTGCAAGGAATGGGATTTTTTCAAACTGGGAATCCAAACCAACCTCAGCCCCATATCTGTTCTGCAGTATTGTCAGTGGACTACAATGTAGGGCGGCCATAACTCCACCCTCTCTCTGCATAGCCACACAACTTGTTACTTTGTTCCATTTCTCTCTGAGGAGGGCAAAAAGGAAAAAAAGAAACTGAGCAATCAACAAGAGTAAAAGAGATGCAGAGAAAGAACTTCCCACTTCCCACTCTCCTTCTTAGCCCTCTGCACTCCTTATTTTTCTCAACTAGTATCTCTTGCCAATGTGGTAGTTGATCAGTGGTGTTTTGAAACCTCAGGGGTTTCTGTGACTCTACCACAAACAAGCCCATGGGTTTTCTTTTCCCAATGTCTTTGGATGCTGATTGTGCCTAGTCCTAATAGTGCTGTTTTGGGTTCTCCTGCCCCTTAGGGTCTGCCCCGCCCTCCCAAAAAAAGAAAACTTTGAGGTTGGGAGGTTGGACATTTTTATTTTAATACTTCAGCAACTCTTTGGATTCCCCAGAGTTGAGGGTCCTTTGGAAGGAAGGATGGGATATTAATTTAATAAATAAGTCTGCCGAGACCTCCCTCTGAATACATGTACCATTCTGGATACATAATTGGTGCACAGCTCTGAACATCACAAATCATGGTAATGATACTCTGTTGTTGGCTTTGGTGAGACTTTGTCCTAGTTTTAATTTAATGTTTAGTGCTGCATTATTACTTGAGGTCCCAATAGGATAGCATGACGGGGCATAATTTAATGAATACAAGTCATCTCCCTACTATGAATATTACACATTAGTCTATCCATCTGGTGCTTTGATTATCTGCCACAAAGAATCTTGCTCTCTGGACATCTGGGGTGACTGGGACGAACTGATCATTTGTATTCCATAAAAGAAGTGAGCATATACTATGGAGGGATGCAGAATTTAAATACACTGATTTATCTTTTTATGTTTCTGAAATGGCTGTCTGTTGTACATGCAAAATATGACTCAAGAAATACACTTCTAGAGGAATAATAATAATAATAATAATAATAATAATAATATGCAATAATGGTGATTCTCTGGAGGGTGGCAGACCTACAGATCTACAGGCTTCATCAACATGAGCAATAGAGTGGGTGAGAGGGAGACAAACCAGGGACATTTTGAAGAATGGGATTAAACTGGATTTATTTATTTATTTATTTAATCCAGTACTACAGCTTTTTACTCTTTTACTACAGGTTGGATCCAGACTAAATTAAAAATACTCCCACAAATCAAAACTTCTAGAGGGTGGTATCTGTGTAAAAACAACAAAGAGTCTTATGGCACCTTAAAAGACTAAAAATGCAATTCTGTGCACACTTACCTGGGAGTAGTGTTTATTGAAGTCAATAGAACTGACTTCCGAGTAGACACACATTGTCTTGTGCTTTACATGTTCTACTATGTCATGCTGTGTACATACAGAGAAAGAGAGAGATCCCATTTTAACTAGGCATTGTTTTAAGTCATGTCAATGGCATGTGTGCAGCACAATATGATCCTAAGCATATTAACCCAGAAGTACCGGTAGTTTGAAGTCCTTCGTGATTTACATACTAGTATGTGTGCTTAGGATGCAGCCTTAGTGCATTCCACAACACACAAAATTTGAAGAAAAGTTGTCCCTATGCAATTAAGAGTTCATTTTAAAGAGGCCATCATTAGCTCAGTGTTTGTGTGAATTGGCCCTCAGAGGACACAACCCCATCATTCTCTCACCAGTAGGCAACATGATATAATTAAAAATAAATTTGTGTTTCACAAATGCAACTCTGTCTTAGGAGTTATGTGGCAGATTTAATTTTGCCCTCTGTACTCTTTTCCTCCAGTCCATGAAAATGTATTGCAGAGCCCAGTTGCTCAGGGAATGTGGGAGGGGAGAAGAGAGAGGTATTGCAAACAAAGGAAGCATCTGAACTCAAATATTGTGTGTCCCTGCCCTGCAAAGAAGGGTTTGCAACAAATGTCTTGGACCAGCCCTGATTTATTATGACCAAAGCTGTTATGGGTTAGAGCCCACTTTATCAGATGCATGGAGTATTATTCTCAGTTGGCCGGTATTGCATACATTTTAAAATCCAGTTAAACTTTAACTTCAGTTAAAGCTGTGGTTTTTTGCATCTTGTGACATTTATTTACAATCCACCCACCGTGTGTGTGTGTGTGTGTGTGTGTGTGTGTGCATGTGTAATGCAAACACACATAGTTGCCAACTGAGGAATACACCTCATCCACAAAATCTTATGCCATAATAAATTAGTCTTTAAAGTGCTGCAAGGCACTTTATTATTTTTAATTTAATAGATAAAAAGAAACATTTAAGACTGTTGTTCCCTGAAGGTATGATTTATAGGACACTTATTTATTTATTTATTTATTTATTTATTTATTTGGTTGGTTGAATTGAACTATATTCCAGGTATGATAATCTTCCCCAACATTTTCCGTTGTTCCTTGTGGAGTTAGGTAACAAGATACCAAATCTGGATAATATAATCACACCCAATTTTTGTTTTAGCCTACACACTAACGGATAGTCTAAATCCCCTAATTTGATACAAGAACATGCAGCAGATCTGAAATAACTAACATTTTAATTAAATATACCATATTTAGCTGTTTTATGTCTCTCATTTATATAGGCATTCTTGCATAACTGCTTATTGTGAACCCTTAATGCAAAGTGATTTGTCTGTTTTGTATATGCAAAACAAACCTGTTACTTCTGTTCTAGCATAAATAATGAAAACTAGTTAAATCTTTATTTAGGAGCTAGGGAAAACTTGTGCTCATCTTACCCCGTGTGAAATATGAATCTTGTCCAGTTTCCCCTTTTAAACATACACTGTGTTGCCAATGCAGGAATATGTTATAAAATCAATAAATGTCTAGTTCATCCCTTTAATACATGCCATAAGCTGCTTCCAACCACTGCTCCCCAGTTCTTATGGAGTAAATTATCTCTGGTTTTCTGCTGGTGCTACTGTTTGGTCTTAAAAGCTATGTGCCTCCACTGCCCTGATCAGGTAAATAGAGTAAAACCCTGAATCCAACTGGTTCTGATGGATCAGTCTGCTTACATGATGCCAGTCCTTTAAAAGGTAAAGTCTGAGCCCTGAACACTGATGTCTGGGTACCATTCAGTCAGTGGGAGCCTGGCTGTACTGAATGCCCCACCCCCCCAGGGAGCATACAATTGTTTTCTGAAATGCAGAAGAGGCTGGGGTTGATGTGATAAAGTGCTACCTATTGGAATTTGACTTTCCACGGTACTCTCTCACACAGAGAGACAATAAAAGCTTGAAAGATCCTTAAATGTAGCCTTTCTAAAGTGATGCTATAATACATAACCGGGTTAATTTGA